AAATTTAGAGCTTATGAACAGAGCGTTATTGGGAAAATGGACTTGGAAATTTGCTAATGAGAAAAACTCCTGATGGAAAAGGATTATTTGTTGTAATAACAAAATTGATCCGAATTCAATGGGGATGAAAAATTCGGCCTCTTACAAAGTATCTTGGATATGAAAAGGTGTTGTTAAGAATTATTGTTCGGATGATTATTTTGGGATTTGTTTGCGGAGTAACTTTATAATAAAGGTGGGCAATAGGGACTCAATTCGGTTCTGGCATGATGCTTTGCTGGATAGAGTTCCATTGAAAGAACGATTCCCTAGACTGTTCACTCTATCGAATAACAAGGAGGGCAAGATTGCCGATTTCAGGAAATCAAACTTGTCAGGCTATTTTTGGGACATTTCTATGAGAAGAAATCTTGTCGATTGGGAGATGCTGCAATGGAATGAACTTATTTAATTGTTGTATAATTTCAATCTTTCGTCGTTGATTGATGACAGTCTTGTATGGTCAGGAGAAGGTGATGGTCGCTTTTTAGTTAAATCTTGCCTTAGAATCCTCCTTGATAACTCGAATGATAGTTTTTTTGTGGGAAAAACATGTGTGGTTTGGCGTGGCTCCTCCTCGGGTCGAATCTTTTGTCTGGCAAGTGGTACACAAGAAGGTAGCAGTCAAAGTGGAGTTAATTAAACTTGGGGTTCAAGGGATTGAAGACCCATCTTTTCTATTTTGCAGGTTGGTTCAGGAAACTGTTTCTCATCTATTTGTTTCGTATAAAGTGTCATGGGATTATGGGTAAGTTTTTTGCGTATTTGGGAGATTTCTTTTGCAACTCTGGAGTGTCCTGCAGTATTGATTTCCGTTTGGTTTTACCTTGTTCCTCGATCAAGCATATGGGTTCATCCCAGGACCCATTTTGTGGTCGGTTTGGAAAATGAGGAATGAGATTGTTTTTAACAAAGGGAAACTAAACTTTGCCATGTTTTCTTTTCTCACGAGGTATAGAGTGGCAACATGGTTTACTTCAAAATTTCCAAAATTCTTGGTTTCTTTCGATAACCTAGTGGGGGATCTTGAATTAGCTGATCATGTTTCGAGTTCTGAAAGGATCCCTTCAAAGTTAGTGAGCTGGTCTTCGCCTCCTATCGGTTTTGTTAAAGTGAACGCGGATGGTGCTATGGACAGATTGTGGTTGAAGAGTGTCATCGGTGGGTTGCTTAAAGACGAGAAAAGTGTGATTTTGGGATCGTTCTCAAAAAGAGTTGGTTCTGTCCCTCTTGTTATGGTAGAATTGTTGGTAATGAAGAGAGGGTTGATGTTTTTTTTGGAGTAAGAGATGTCGGTGAATTGAAGGCTTAATTTGAATCCAATAGTGTTGTGGCAGTGGATTGGATAAAGAATTCTGCTGCCACCACCTCGTTGTTTATGTCCATAGTTAAAGTTATCGTCTCAATTGTGGTTGACAAAGGTGTCATTGTTTGACATGTGTTGATAGCAGTTAACTAGGAAGCGGATAAGTTTGCTAAGCTGAGGATAGGCTAATTGGATGGGATTTATTTATTGCATTGAGTTTATTGTATTGTGGTTTGTTGTCATTTTTGGTAATTGTGTTATGTCTACATTTGGTCGAATGTTTCTAGGAGATAGGTTTTGAGTAGGGTATGGTCACTGTTGTGTTTTGGTAGTGTAATGTACCTCATTGTTGAGATGGTTGTCAATGGGTTTGGTGGTATTGTACTCTTCTTGTATTTGGTATTTATGCAATAAAATTTTAAGGCACTCTTTTCCTCCAATGTCCATTGAGACACTCTTGTTGCTTGACGGATATGAAGGGAGTTTTTTAATGAGGCCTTCATATTTATATTAAAAAACTATTGGTAAGAAGAGTACCTTCATTGTGGAGAACTAATGCTTCATTCAGCTACTGCCTGTTACATTTTAGACACAATAATGTTTGAATTCGTATTAATAGGAATACTTTTACCTAAACCCATCAGAAGCTGAACTCCTTTTGCTTTTTTTTTCCTTTTCCATTTCTCTTTTTCTTTATGGGAAGTTAAGGGCAGATTGCATGCTTGATGATTGGGAAGAGAATTTGGCTGTAATAACTACAAATAGAACAGAAGATGATGAGCTTGTAATTATTCATCTTGGAGATTGCTTGTGAAAGGAAAGGTGTGAGGTACATTATTATCTGTTCTAGCTCCATTTTCTCCCTTTTGGTTGGCAAGCATATAGCATATTTATTCATTCTTAATGATTATAAAATGGCTCTTACTTGAGAGTTCAAATCCAGATAACGACAACACACATCTGTTACTTAGTTGCGGAAGCAAACTTTGAGTCATATTCAAGTAGTGCTAGACTTTGTCTTATCGGAGCAGACCAATTGATCATTCTATTATTAACTATTTGTCAATCATGGTGTTGGTACTTTAGCCTGTTTACTAGCGTTTATCCCCTTTATGATTGATGTACGATATTTAGTTGAGAATGTTTCTTTTTAGTTGGGGAAAATGTAAATAAAAATCAATCTTCAAGCAAAATTGATTAGGTTGAAACCTAAACAGGAAATAGAGTGCATTCTATCATCTCTCTCTCTTTATCTCCCCCTATACATAATATATAACACATATGTTATAGACATATACATAAGGGCACATGCATGCATATGCATATACATCTTATTACCTTCATGAAATTTGTATAACTTGTTATTTCAATGCTAAAGTCGTCTCTTGTAACTGGTTGTATATAATGCCAAATCCGAGTTGTTCATAGATGGGCAAGATTCCTATTTTTCACTCTGTAACTTTTAAGATTTAAACATGTCCTTTATGACTCAAATTTTCTATTGTTATTCTTTCTCAGAGGATCGAGTTTTATGAATATTCAAAGGTGTTGGGGAACTCTCAGTTTGCCTTGCTACCATTTCAGCCATATAAACTTATTTATGCACACATGCTGCTTGAAGTTGGAAAAGTTTTAGATTCATTGAAGTATGCATATTTAAGTTGTTTGTATTTGATATTTGGACGTATTGTTCGTTCAATTTGTTTACATAATAAGGCTAGTTCATGTATTGTCAAGTTATATTAAAATCTCTGAAAACTAGTCGACTGTCTGAGGTAGAAACTTGGAAACCTTTAGTTTTATCTCTTGAGGAGAGGATAAGGTTCTACCAACAGGTAAGTTTTAGCTTCTCAGTTTAGGCTTTCTTGTAAATATTTTCTTTTTTAATATCAGGCTTTCTTTTATAGGGGGATATGCTATAAATTTGGCTCCAGCAAGATTAGTTGGTAAATTGCTAAACTTTTTTTATAGCACTGCACATCGAGTTGTGGGGGTGGGGGGGATCCACCACCACCTCCTACATCAACAACAAATGAAGATTCTCTAGGTAATGATCATTTCAACCAACAAATCGGGCCAAGAGTATCTGTCAGCCAATCAACATTGGCTACGTCATCATTGATGCCTTGTTCTTCAATGGAACCTATAAGTGACTGGGTCGGCAAGGAGGTTGATGGAAAAATGACCGTGCAAAATAGAAGTGTTTCAGAGCCGGACATGGTCAGAACGCCAAAAAGAGGTTCACATTTGCCTCTGCTTGAAAATATATTTGATATTGGCTGCTTGTTCATCTTACAATGAATATAGTTAAGGATGTGTCTTACTGATATTTGATGGATCAGGACCATCCACTGAACAAGGCAAAGCATCAGACTCAGTAGGGGCATCTCGGTTTTCTCATTTTAGTTTTGGCTCACAGCTTTTACAAAAAACTGTAGGGTTAGTCTTATGGCCTCGTGCTGATAAACAGGTAGCTCCTTTTATTTACCATTATTATTTTCATATATTTCTTAGCTTCATGGTTAAACTCTTGATATGCAAAATGTTTTATTTAATTTAATTTACATTGTTATCTGAAGGATAAGCTAGATGAAAAGAACAAATTCTATTACGATGAAAAACTTAAGGGAATGGATGGAGGAAGGTGCTGAACCTTCAGCTGAAGAAACAACTATGCCACCACTTCCGACCGCAGCTACATTCAAGAATGCAACATCTGACTAAAACTTGAACTCTTCATCGAAGAATGAGGGTTTTCCCCCTAAGGGAAGCCGAAAATACAGAAACCCAACCCCAATAGAACATGCTTCTGGGATCCCTTCTATTCCTACGAGCTCCAATCAATTCTCAGCTCGTGGACAGATGGGTGTTCAAGCAAGGTACTTCTGAAGTTCAACTTGTTAGCAATGCACACTATTACAGTTGAATGGTGCTATGCAATGAACTTGGTGGAAAATGAGCGTTGAAAGTAAGATAAAATGGTAAATGCTTGGCCTTGGGCGCTTTGTACCTAAACATAAGATGATAACTAGCTAGGTAAATAATAATTTAATTGGCCATGAATGCTTCTGAGAATTCATAAGCATTTAAGATTTCCCTTATCACTGTTATTGTTGAACTTTACAATGTTCGGGGTTTCTTTTTTCTTTTTGGGTTTGGAAGTTGATTTTTATCTTATTTGTGGCGTCACTTTGTAAACAAGGAGGTTATAATATTTTTCATTTAATTTTCCTATGGCATTATGAAATATTGACAGGTATGTGGACACTTTTAACAAATATATGGTGGTAGTGGTGGCAAAGCAAATTTATTTCAATCACCTGTTGTTTCCTCTGTTAAACCTGCAGTGGCTGCAAATGCGAAATTCTTTATTCCCACGCCTGTATCAACAAAAAGAAGTGAACAATCAATGGCGGCAATTACTGAAAATGCACAAGAAGAGAATGCTACAATTAATAATCCTACCCGTTCCACTTCCGGTTCCGATGCCAAAGCCAACAGATCTTGCCCATCCCAAGCCTTCAACGTCAATGAGTAGGCAAAGGTTCCCAAGCATGGATGATATCCCTCAGGAAGACATGATGATAAATGCCAATGTCTTTTCATCACAATCAAGTCGAACAGCCTCGTGCAGTGGAAACATCTTTGATAATGCATTAGGTCATCCTAGCGGGGCCGACATAAGACTTTCAGGAGAGGCATTGGGGGAGCCTCCGCCATTGTTTATGCCTAGTCCAATGAATGATAATATTGGGGATGAGCTACAAGAGGTGGAGCTTTGAGACAAGATTTGTCAAAATGTAAATATCAAAGTTTTCTTCCTGCAATCCAAATACGAATATTCGTGATATTTCTGAGCATACAACAATGGCAGCACACTTAAAACACTGGTAATGGAAACAAAAATATCTTCTTTAACTATTAACTTCTTAAGCCCATTTCCCCCTTTCTGCATTTGTATTTTGATATTCAGTTGCCTTCTTAGGTTTCATTTGGTTGGTATATTTGTTTCCAGTGGTGTCTTATTTAATTGTATCAATAGGTATTTTCTGCATTCCCTGCGTTAAAGGAGTTAAATATTCTTATTTCTTTTTTTTTGTTACTAGAAAGAAATAAAGAAATGCCCTGAGCAGTCATCATTTGTTCATTTGTTGAGAATGGAAGTATATTGTCATGATCATGAGAGAGACATAAATCGAAGAAGACGAGGGAGAATTTGGGATCGAAGAGGAAGGGTTAGGGATTATATCTGAAGATTTGGGGATTTGTATTTACCTTGCACATGAGGAGGCCAAAAGTAATTACAAGGGGACTAGCATGGATCAGATGGGTTGTGAACATACCTAGAATGAGAAGTCAATATTAGCAGTGAACGTTGAGGTTGTTAGCCAAGGACACCAGTTGGCTGAACTGTTGGATTCAATACTATTGTAAACAAATAAAACCATGTTCTGCTGAGGCATTTTCCTTATGATTGAAATGAATGAAATCTCAATTTTCTTGAATCTCATTTCTTCTCTTCTTTAATATCCATTTCCTTTATTTTTTTCGATTACTCTTCCTCTATTTTCTTCAATTATTCTTCTCTCACAGGGTCATAACAAATTTGTATCTGAGCCATCAGTTCTTGACAGATTGAAGAAAAAAATCAAGGTATGGCAGACTTCATTAATCTTTCTGTGATTCAGAGGCAACTTGATGATCTCACCAAGATGATAAAGCATATAACGGCTAAATCAACTCCTCTAAAATTGTAGGAGGCACAAAATACTCGCATAACTAATTTAGAGACAAAAATGGACACAACCCAGAGATCGGTGGAGCAGATCTTCCAGATTATGGCTAGTACAAAGAGTGAGCAAAAACAAAAGCAGAGGGGTTGTAGTAATGTATCTTAGGTGTTTGACAAAATGCAAGAAAAAAAGATGAGCCATTCATCATTGAATCATTCTACCTCTTTGATGGTCAAGATCTTGCAGAAACAGAAGTTGAGCAGAAATAAACAACGAAAAATTATACAAAGCCTACTATAATGGATGATGCTTACAGTAAGAACATCTATCTTGTCTATACACTTGAAGAAGCTTGCCTTATGCCCAAAACCGAGTTAGAAATAATTGATCCACCACTTAAATTTTATGCTAAAATTGTAATGAGTGGCCCCAATAATGGTGTTATGATACTTCACCGCAGAGGGCATAAAATGTTTGAGAAAACATTAGAACTTTAGCATTGCGTAAATCATAGCAGTGGTGACAAACTTCTCAGTAGTGGTGCTGAACAATTTAGCAAATATGAGTCTAAAGGGGTATGTATCCATTGGTTAAATCAATACCAAGTTCCAACTTCTCAAACTTCTCAGTAGTGGTGCTGAAAAATTTACCTCCTCGCCCAGATCCTTTTGTGGAGGCATCTTCTTTCTCGGTAGTGTCGCCACCTGATCCCTCATATAATCTAAGAATCAAAGATGATTTGTGAAGTTCAAAGGCTTTATCATGCTTGTAGATTGATACTTTGGTTTATGCTTGTCAAAGACATCTGCAACACCTGCCAAGTAGTGCTAGGGCATGATTCTTTGTTGGAGATGGAGCTGGTGTTGGTAAAGGTCGAACAATTAGGGGTTAATATGGGAGAATTGGCACCATGCAAGGAGGAAAGCAATATGGATTTATGTTGGTTCTGATATGAAGTTTGATGCGAGAAGAGACTTGGATAATATTGAAGCACCATTAGAAGCTGAAATGGAGGCTATGTATAAAAGAGCAGCAGAGCTTTGGGTAAAGCTTCGAGAGGAATGGATGTCAGCAAATGCTTTTCATAGTAATGATAAACCTAATCCCAGTCAGTTATGGAGAATGTATTAGTAAAGTCATCAACATTTTTTAGACACATGTGTATGTTAACTAAGGTGCCTGCTACGGTGAGGCTTGCTAAGCAAGCCCTAATGAAAGATAAGTGTTTAGTTATAGGCCTTCAGAGTACTGGAGAGGCTACCTTGCTTGCTCTAGCCTCATTGTTCGAGCAATTACTTAAGGGATAGCGAGGTTTTGAACTTACAAAAGTGAGCTTAGGGAATTTTCTAGAACAAGTTATTAATGAAGATTTAATTGGGACTATGAATATTGATTCTGGAAATCATGGTTTCAAGGAGCCTGTGATTTATCTTTAGAATCTGGGGCAACAATTCAAATTGTTACCAAGTGGATGCTTACATTGGCAATGGCATTGCTCGGAAAAGGTGAGTTTTGTATGCAAATTTTTTCACAAAGACTTAACAAAATGGGATGCACATCATTGTAAGGAAGAAATCATTGTCTATTATTTCAAGGGAAGGGGAATGTCATAACTATATGGGAAGTCAACAAAGAAAGCAACAGGAATCAGTTACTAAAACAATAACTTTTGAATCTGAAATTTTTTCAGAAGACTCAAGCAAGGCTGAATTTTTTTTTCTAAAATAAAATTGACAGACAGAGTTATAAAGACAAATGACAGAATTTACCTGAAGTTTCAGTCTTACTATCAAACCTCACTTTCTTTTCGAAAAGGATTAAGACTTACATTGCATGGGGTTAGTAGCATATAACTTGTTATACGAGTCCTCGAAGATGAAAACAGTGAATTATGATAGTTTGTTGAAAAAGAAATCTGGAGATCAACACATTACCTCATTGGATCCTTTTAATTTTGGACATAAAGGAAAATTGAAAGTCCAATATGCTATGAAGTTTGATAAACATAGGGAGAATAAGTACAATCAGCTGTAGTGGAAGAACTTAAAGTTGGAAAAAATCATTGGGGTAAACTATATTGTGCTTAAGGCACAATTATTAGGTTTTGATCCTTGAGGACAAGGGTCCTTTCATGGAGGGGGTATTGTCATGATCATGAGAAATACAGAAATAGGAGAAGATGGGGAGAATTGGGGATCAAAGAGGAAGGGTTAGGGATTGTATATGAAGATTTGGGGATTTTTACTTACCCTGTACGTGAGGAGGCTAGAAGTAATTACAAGGGGACTAGCATGGATGAGGTAGATTGTGAACAAGCCTAGAATGAGAAGCCAATATCAGCAGCGAACGTTGAGGCTGTTAGCTAAGGACACCAACTGGCAGAGCTGTTGGATTCAGTACTATTATAAACAAATAAAACCTTGTACTGCTGAGGCATTTTCCTTATGATTGAAATAACTCTTCTTTAATCTCCATTTCCTCTATTTTCTTCAATTACTCTTCAACTATTTTCTTCGATTACTCTTCTTCTCTCGCAGGGTCATAACACATTTGTATTGTGAAAGACATATGATACCTCAATTTTTTTTATGAATTTTATATCTTAAATGTATTTATTTTCTTTTTACTGTTATGTTGGTTTAGGACTTTTTTGTTGATCTTTTAATTATATATACATATATCTACTTTTTAATAAATATTTTAAAAATATCTTCTTTACACCAGAATTTATTTAAGATCCATATACGATTCATTTGGAAATTGTTCTCTTAATTGTACTTTTTAAAAAGTACGTAGATTTGAGAAAATTATTTTAGTAATTATTAGAAGTAATTGTTGATATGATAATTAAGGATTGATAAAACATTTGTACCTTGTACCTGATCTACTCTAGGAAAGAATTAAATAAACTATTACCTTGTTTTTATGTAATACTATAATAAGATCCGACCCGATCCAACCTGAAAACTTGATTGATTAGCATGTCACACGGAAACATCGAAGTGACTAACCATTTCTTTAAAAAAACATTTCAAACTCATTCATAATCTTATCAAAATGAAATAAACCAGTATATCAAATATAGTAGGTTTAAAAAATATGGAGGCTCCCAATAATAGTCTCCATAATAAAAGTATTCAAATAGAGTTACTACTCGACACTACATAAGGGTCTATGATAGTACATGTCACTATAATACTCAAGTTGTACTCTGAAAGCTGATTGAGTTTGGACTCTTGAATTTGGCAATGAGCTCCTCCTACTGGCACCTATGAACTTGCGCACTATGATAAGATCACAAGCTTAGTGCCACGCAAATAACCCAACTATACTCCATGCATTCAACTTATGAGCATGCTACATGCACCGTTATGAATCATGCGTATATTTATAACACAACAAAAGTAAGCATCATGGTGTAGCTTCGGGTCACCATAACGTCACGAAACTCACACCCCTATTTGCTTACTAAAGGTACTTCAGGTAAGATTTGAGTCACATAGCATCAGCATCTTATGATATCCTATGATTGGTCTGAGTCACATAGAGTCGGCATCTTGCCAAGCTAGTCTACTCATCTCGAGTACTCGGGGCGTGTCTGGGACACTTAGCAACAGCACAACGTCCAACTAGCATTTTAGGTGCCCAAACATTGGTTTGGATATATCCAGATAATCCTCATCCTATCACATAACTTCCTATAAAGTGACTCGGGTCTCCTCATTGTTTCTCAAGTATCAAACAAAGGCATAAGTTTTATGGAATCTTACATCATTAAGATCTTATGTTATTACACAATTATTAAGGTTTTCAAATGTATTCTTGTTGGAGAGTTTCCCCTCTCAATAAACCTCAACTTCATCCTTTTGTCTCAAGCTAGGCTTACTGCCTAAACATTCACAATAGTACCGATACTCCTCCTGGGGTACTTACCTTCCTAAGGTATCGATACTTCCCTGAGTATCGATACCAAATTTACCTTCGATGTTATGTAATTAGCCTCGATATTGATACTTGCCCTGGGAGTATTGATACTCTCCCTCCTCAATATTGATACTCCCATGAGTACCGATACCAAAATTGTTTTTGATGTTTTGAAAAATACCCCAGTATCGATACCCCTACTAGGAATATCGATACTCTACACTTGGTATCAATACTCCTATGAGTTCCAATACCAACATTCGCTATT